AGTACAAAATACGGAAAATTCCGTCACATCTTCACGGCACAAATACCTCAATGTTTGAAGACAAGTCTTTGACAAATGCATTCTCCCTGTAAAGAGACTCCCTGTATTGTTTGTCTTTAACAAACAATATTAATCTATTCTCAAGTTGACCGCAGACTTTAATAACAATCAAAGGAGTCTGTGTATTAAATACATGGATTTTTATTCATATAATATATTTTTTATGCATAATTAAAAAAATATTAAAATTCTGCGCTCCTCTTCTATATCTACTATATATATAACTCAAAGGTGACTGACATAGTGATCTATCAACGCACAGCCCAAACCACTGGATGAATCGGGCTGAAATTTGGCATGCAGGTAGATGTTATGACGTAGACATCCGCTAAGAAAGGATTTCGATTAATTCTATCCCCAAACGGATAAAAAAGGGGATGAAAGTTTGTATAAAACTTTGTCAATTTTAAATCGATCGGGGCTGAGACTTTGCATGCATAAAGCTACTATGACGTAGGCATCCCCTAAGAAAGGATTTTGATAAATTCCATCCCTAAGGGGATAAATTAACGCGAACGAAGCCGCGGGCAAAAGCTAGTAAAGTATAAGTATCCGAAATTTCGTACTCCTCCGGGTACATTGTTTTTTCTTCAAGTTTTAATATATATATACAAAAATTTCGTTTTCTCTACAAACTACCTTAAAACGTAAGCAAAAGAGCATTTAAAATAATTGGCTCTGCAAATGTACGCGTCGATAAAACGCTTTTCACCGGAACACCGTTCTTATAAAATGAAATGTTTCAATTTTCACTGTTGATATTTACTACTAAAGGAAATGCGCTCTAGGAAAATTCTAAGTAACACTTCGCTTTATATAAAATTGCAATAACAGGGTTTCATAGAAGCCGTACTTAACTAAGGACGTTGGGGTTTAGTGGTGTACTGCCCCGACTCGAAATTACGAGTCATCATCATCATCTTCATTCCAGCCCGGAAGATGACATAGGTCTCGTCCAAAGATCTCTCGCATCCAATGCCATCCAGCAATAAAATTGATGTACAAAAACTTTGTATATCAATTTATGTTTGACTGACTCTCCGGTGATGGGAACGTCGCTATCAAATCAAAGTAATTAGAGAAACAGTGAAGCTGATAGGATCGCTTCAGGGTTGCCAATTTTAAAACACTTTACCTCGAGGTACTAAGGAATCCCGAAAATCACCTCAATTTGCTCTCTATCTTCATACATAGGGGGACCTTTCCCCCTATGTATGAAGGGTTATTAGAAATGGGGATTAGTAAACCCAGTGCTACCAATCCTATGTCAGGTTGACCTCCACGAGGTTCCCCCTAGGAAACCATCTATATTCCTTGTGAATTAGCCACTATAATAATAGTAATCATTATGTAATATCTTAGAACAATTTACAGCGCCATCTAGTCCCAAACTAAGCACAGCTTGTGTTATGGATACTACCCAACTGATAAAACATAGATACATTTTTTTTGTAAATACAAACATAGAAAATACCCATACCGATACAAACAATCATTCTCATGAATACAAATGTTTATACCGTGCGAGGAATCGAACCCGCGACCATTGTGATTAAATCGATGTGCTAACCACTAGACCACCGGGCTCTATATATTTTGTATGACAACACAAAAGAACATCCAAAACTTTTCTTTGCATAATTTCCTCCTTTACCAATTCGAAGTTGATCTTAAAACCATTGACCGGGCTGTAACATGAAAAGTTGTGTCAAATTAGTTAGTATTCGTTCACGAGTAGCGGACTGATTATGCAAACGATCCTACCGAACTTTCCACTTAAATAATATATGAAATTATGCAAAACAACCGAAGAAGGTACGTAGTGGCCATTCAAGAGTTGCGACTTGTGAAGTTATCAGATATCAACCGTGCGTGACCCGTCCGCGGCAATGTTTCACGATATTTCGTCTGAATCTGTGAAGTTTTAAAGCTTTTTTCATAATCGTGTTATTGGTATTTTCTGATACCCTGTCCTATATATTTAATAAAAAGAAAAATATTTTTATACTGCGTAGATTTACCATCAGATAGGCCACATGTCTGGAAAAAAGCCATGTGGCCTATCTGATGGTTACCGTAGACTATGGACGCCTGAAACACCAGGGGCATCAAAAAACCACATGCTGTAGTCTCATGAGAAAACCTGGTTGATCGCAAGTAATATATTTAAATTATAATACAACTCACATAAAAATATGAATTTGTGAATGCAATGAACATTTTTTGTTATTTCTTTTTTGTAATTATTTTTTTGTTTTATGCACAATAAAGAGTTTTATTATTATTATTATAGATAATAAACAGTTATCCAATGTAATATATAGTAGAAAACTAGTGATTTGTGAAGTTTTCAGATATCAACCGTGCGTGACCCGCCTGCGGCAATGTTTCACGATATTTCGTCTGAATCTGTGAAGTTTTAAAGCTTTCTTCATAATCGTGTTATTGGTCTTTTCTGATACATTTTTCTGTATACTTTATGAAAAAAAATTATACTGCGTAGATTTACCATCAGATAGGCCACATGCCTGTTTTCCAGACATGCGGCCTATCTGATGGTAAATGGTTACCGTAGACCATCAAAAAACCCCATCTTCATCTTCTTTTTGAAAAACCCCATGCTGTAGTCTCAAGAGAAAACCTGGTTGATTCCAAGTAATTTATTTAAATTAATTTAATACAACTCACTTATGTTTATATATTTTTTTTATTTCTTTTTTGTAATTATTTTTTTTCTTTTATGCACAATAAAGAGTTTTATTATTATTATTATTGTTATAGAAAAAAATTATATTGCATGGATGGCAAACAGGCATACGGCCTATCTGATAAAAAATTAGTATAAAAAAATCATAAAATAAATAAAATGAAGGTGGCAAATAGACATACGGCCTATCTATGGTAAATGGTTACCGTAGACTATGGACATCTGAGACAGCAGGAGTGTCACGTGCGCGTTGCCGACCCTTAAGAAACCTTAATATACCCTTCTTGAAAAACCCTCTAGTCTCCTGAGAAAACATCGGCAGGTTGTTCATTCCAAGAAATTTGTTCAAGTAATAATACAACTCACTTAGAAATATGAATTAGTAAATAATAATAATATCTCAGGACAATTCACACAGCGCCATCTAGTCCCGAGCTAATCAAACCTTGTGTTATGGGTACTAGACAACTAATATAAATACATGGATAATTTTTTTTTTGTAAATAAATACATATTATACATAGAAAACACCCAGACCGATACAAACAATCATACTTATGAATACAAATGTTTACGAGGAATCGAACCCACGACCATCGGATAGTAAAGCGGTGTGCTAAACCACTAGACCACCGAGGCTGTCAAATGCAATGAAATTTTTGATAATAAACAGTTAATATAAATAAATTAAAGAAAATTCTAGGAATATTAAATAACAAGAATCCATGCAAACCTTTTTTTTCTTTTACTTTTACTTTTCACTTACTTTTTACGAAGTCATATGCTTAAAGTAGCATATGCTTAATACCAGCTTCTGAATTTTGCATTGTATCCACCAGAAACTAAAATACCATCCTGATCATCTGGATGAATGGCGGTCCTCCACCACGCGTTTTAATACCGTCAGTTCTAAGCTAAGCAGAACCTATTTTATGTCTAATAAAAACATACATATTGTACATAAAAAACAACCAGAGCAATACAAACAATCATACTCATGACTACAAAAATTTGTATCGTACAAAGAATCAAACCTGCGACTATTTGAATTAAACTGCTACACTACCGAGGTCGTCCAATATATTTTTATCCTATCATGGATCATGAATATTCTATAAGTTTGTTTTTCCACCGTCATGCATAAGAGAGGATCTTTTAGGCTAAGAAAACAACCCTGCAGTTAACTGCTATGGTCAATAATGAACTTTATGTCTTGCATCCTAAAAGTAATTCTCTTTCAAAGCTGAAATATTATTGGAAGTTCTTAGCATTAAAACAAATAGCTTCCTCTGTCTATAAAGTAGATTTAGATCGTCGTCCATTATGCGATAGTAAGTGTTTCAAAGCCGAGTAAGGCTTTGAATTTCACTGGAAATTATTTGTGTCATTCCATTTTACTCAATCGCTTTATTGGATGCTGATTTATCTACATTAATATTATAAACAAAAGATTCGACGGCCTCGGTTGTGTAGCGGTTTTGCACATCGTCTTATCGCTGGCGGGTTCGATTCTTTACACGACACAAACATTTGTATTCATGAGTATGATTGTTTGTATCGGTCTGGGTGTTTTCTTTGTATAATAATAATAATCTCAGAACAATTAACAGCGCCGCGCCATCTAGACTCAAGTTAAGCTAGATAAAGCTTGTGTTATGGGTACTAGATAACTCAATAATCGATATATATATATTACTAGCTTTTGCCCGCAGCTTCCCTCGCTCGCTCGTTAATTTATCCCCTTAGGGGTGGAATTTATCAAAATCCTTTCTTAGGGGATGCCTACGTCATAGTAGATTTATACATACAAAGTCTTTCATCCCATCAAGTCAAACTTTCATCCCCTATTTTATCTCTTTTGGGGTAAAATTAATCAAAATCCTTTCTTAGCGGATACCTACGTCATAATATTCACCTACATGCCAAATTTCAGCCCGATCCGTCCAGTGGTTTGGGCTGTGCGTTCATAGACAGGTTTATATATATATATAATAAATGTACACCTATGCAAAGCCAGGGCGAGTAGCTAGTACACTATAAAAAAGATACTACACTAAACATATTAAAGCAAATATATATGAATATATAAATACATAACGATCTAAGCATATATATAAATACATTAAGCGATTGAATATTAATGAGTTGATTGGGTTTCAAACAGCTTCATATATTGATAGAGCGGATATAATCTCTTTTATATCTACTATATAAAGATTATTTTTGTCAACAGCGCGTCGGCTGCGACCTCCGAGTGGGGTCAACTCGAAGGGTTGACGAGTGTGGTGTGTGTGGCGGAGATGGATCCTCGTGCTCCCGACCACGGTACCACTGGCTGGCCACCCCTGCGTCTCTATGCTCAGCCACATGTGGTGGAGGTAATACCGAAACTTTACAAAATAAATAACCGTGAACAATTATCACAGCGCCATCTAGTCCCACGGTAAGCAGAGCTTGTGTTATGGGTACTAAACAACTGATATATTTTTTGTAAATACAAAAATACTCAGACCGATACAAACAATGATACTCATGATTACAAATGTTTGAACCGTGCGAGGAATCGAAACAGCGACCCTCGAGAAGTAAAGCGGTGTGCTAAACCGTTGGACCACCGTCAAAATACAACAACATACTATATGTATATATGTAGCAGCTTCATCATTAAAACAAAGTCACGGTCGCTGTCTGTCGGTCCCTATGTATGCTTAAGTCTTTAAAACTACGCAACGGATTTTGAAGCGGTTTTTTTAATGGATAGAGTGATTCAAGAGGAAGGTTTATATATATACATATGATACAAGTGTGCGTAGTAGCGTAGTGGCACACCGGGGCGAGTAGCTAATCAACTATATCATCATTGCCTTGCCTTTATCCCATTATTTGGGGTCGGCGCAGTATGTCTTTCTCTTCCACTGCTCTCTATCAGTCGTCATATCTAGACATACTCTTCTTTTATTCATATCATCTTTCACACAATCCATCCATCTTTTCTTAGGGCGTCCCCTCCCTTTACATCCATCCACATTCATATCGTATTCATATTATATTCGACCTCGGTGGTCTAGCGGTCTAGCACACCGCTTTACGTCCGATGGTCGCGGGTTCGATTCCTCGCACGGCACAAACATTTGTATTTATGAGTATGATTGTTTGTGTCGGTCTGGGTGTTTTATATGTATAATATGTATGTATTTACGAAAAAAAAAAAATTCCTATGTATTTGTATCAGTTATCTAGTATCCATAACAAGCTTTAGCTAGCTTAACTTGGGTCTATATGGCGCTGTGTGAATTGTCCTGAGATTCTTATTATCTTATTATCTCTTATTATATTATATATACACTTTCCATAAGACATGGTCCTCATTCCTCCGCATAACATGCCCATACCAGCTCAATCTGTTACCTCGCAACTTTTCTATAAACTATATACCACATATAATTAAAATATTAATTTTCTACTCAATAACCCAGGAATAAAAGCTCGAGTCTTTTAGTTGGGACAAAATGGTTGTAAAATTAGCACAGCCCGAACAATCTTTGATCAATTATTTTCGCCATTTTGATCAAACGGCTCAATCAGTCCGACCTATTGTAATAGGCGGTATAAAACAAATTACTCCACCGCATTTGCGAGTGCTAATTCTTATCAGGATATTCATCTTTCAAGGGTTCTTAATTAGAATCGGCCTTCGCAAATTTTGCCAGAGTAATGTACTGTATAGACGAGATACAATTAGTTGTTATGTCAAACAATGAAATTATAGTATATGCTGGCATGACTTCTGACGGCTTCATGACAGCCCCGGTGGTCTAGTAGTTTAGCACACCGCCTTACATCCGATGGTCGTGGGTTCGATTCCTCGCACGGCACAAACATTTGTATTCATGACTATGATTGTTTGTATGTTTGGATGTCTTCTATGTATATTATAATGTATTTATAAAATAAAAAGATACTATGTATTTATATCAGTTGCCTAATATCTATAACATGTTTTGGTTTGTATGTATTTATTATATATAAGTGTATAATATGTATGTATTTATATATCTATGTATTTGTATCAGTTGTCTAGTACCCATAACACAAGCTTTAGCTAGCTTAACTTGGGTCTAGATGGCGCTGTGTGAATTGTCCTGAGAGTATTATTATTATCTGAATGCTCAGGAATCATCATCTGAATGATAACGCATTAGTAGTGCCAAGGGTATTACATGATAACTTGTTATCGTAATGCTATAAACGACGGTTACCACATACCATCAAGTAGGCTTGTGGGCGTCATTGTTTTGTTTTATCTACAACTAGCTACCCACCCCGACTTCGCACGGGTGTACATGTATTATACATATAAACCTTCCTCTTGAATCACTCTATCTATTAAAAAACATCTTCAAAATTCGTTGCTAGTTTTATAGATTTAAGCATACATAGGAACGGACAGACAGCGACAGCGACTTTGTTTCATACTATGTAATTATACCAATTACATCAAAAAATCTAATAATAAATCATTTTGTTTCTAATGAATAAATGCTTAACCAATTTTTTTTCAGCTGTAAAAATCAACATTATTTAAACATAAGTTATATTTTAGTAAAAAAATCGCTCCGCAATAATTGCATTTATGTAAAACTCGTAATTTTATAAAAGCCCAGATGATTTGGCACTGGATGGATGGATTGTGTGAAAGATTATATGGTAAGAAAGGGTATAACGAGATGACTGCAAACAACTGGCTGGAAGAGAAAAACATATTACGACGACCACAAATAAATGGGATAAGGAAGAAGCAGATGATGATGATATAGTACATAATATGAATATATTAAATACTAGCTGTTCCCGCGTCTTTGTCTTCGTTCGCGAAAAATGACCTTGACTAAATATTGAAAAAATGTTTAGTAATCTAACCCAATGAAAAAGCTTCATCGTTCAAAAATGATACACAGCGGCAACTAAAAAGTCGCCAGTCTGCCGCCGACTTACTCTAAAGGAACTGTTGCTCAGCGCTAGAATGGAGACAAAAGGAATTTCTCCCGTGATTTATCGGTAGGCTTCAACTAATGGTGGATTTCGAGATATAAATTACAAGAGCGGCCGACATTTGCAATTAACAATGTTGCCGTAATGTATTGGCGGGCTGTTTGGTGGATTTTGATGGTGCTACGCTTATCATTTTCCATGAACAGCCATTACTGCGATAGTAATTTCTGACTCTCGTTATATCGCTTCGGGGATTCTGATTTTTGATAAGTGCAACATTACAAAAGATTTAATGATTACACTAATAAAAGTAAAATAAATATATAACAATACCTGTCGTTTAACTGATGTTAGTAATTCGTCTTATGGTAATTACGAAAGGTGTTACAAGAAATTACCAGAGTCTGTTCTAAATCTGCCTGAAAAAAAAAATATTTATCGTTTAAAATTATTCCTATGTAAAATAACATATTTTAAAATTAAAGAGTTCGTTAATGATAATGATGCGTTTGTAGAAGAACTTAAAATTCATAACGCTGACAATATTATCTGATTGCATTAAGAATGAATGTGTAACGGTTTCCATGATAATAATATAATAATAATAATCTCAAGACAATTCACACAGCGCCATCTAGACCCAAGTTAAGCTAGCTAAAGCTTGTGTTATCGGTACTAGACAACTGATACAAATACATAGATTTTTTTCGTAAATGCATACATATTATACGTAGAAAATACCCAGACCGACACAAACAATCATACTCATGAATACAAATGTTTGTGCCGTGCGAGGAATCGAGGAAACACCACAATAAAATAATAAATGTCACAGTATTCCATTAATGTCATCATCATCAGCCCACTGCAGTCCACTGCTGGACATAGGCCTCTCCCAAGGCACGCCATTGGGCACGATCTTCAGCCCTTTTCTTCCATTTTTTACCCGCAACCCTACGTATGTCGTCGCTCCACCTAGCTGCGGGGCGTCATACACTACGTTTGCCAATTCGCGGTCACCACTCTAAAACACGCCAACTACAGCGAGCATCGGTTCTGCGACAGATATGACCAGCCCACTGCCACTTCAACTTGCAAATACGAAGAGTTATATCGGTGAACTTAGTTCTCTGGCGAATTACTTCGTTTCGGATTTGATCCCTCAGAGAAACTCCAAGCATAGCCGTTTCCATAGCTCGTTGAGCGACTTTGAGTTGGTGGACCAGTCGTATCGTCAGTGTCCACGTTTTGGCACTGTATGTCGTAACGAGTAGGACGCACTAGTTTAAATTCAAAATTCAAAATATCTTCATTCATTTAGGTCTATTACAGACTCTTATGATATGTCAAATCTACCGTCAGTTCGGAATGATATCGAGATGAGAAGAACTGACAAGAAACTCAGCTCGTATTTTTTTCAAATAATAGTGGAACATGTTTATAATAATACATAGTCATTAAAATTCAAATTTGGGAGAATAGAGTGACCACCAGCATATGCTATCGCAAAGAACAATAAATTTAATCAGTGTTCACAACCTGAACAGACCAGGCCCCACAAGCAGCACCCGTTCACGAGTATGACGGATGAGCCAGCCATCATTGCACTCAAGCATATTTGAACTTTATAGCGAGCATGACTGTTTCAGGTTACTCCACTACGTCAATTATATTATTTACAGCATAGGCTGTACCGATCACAGTTTTCACCCATTACAATATTAAATTTACATTATTTAATTTACAATATGTCATTACAAACCTTGGTCTTAAGGGTTTGTGGCAGCGATGACGAGAAGACTTGACGAAGTTTCCCAAAACCGCCCCACTCCACTAATGTAAATCAATATTATTAAAACTATAATTACATGAAGTCAAAGTATTAGATCAGAGATTGATACTATGGAAAGGACTCATCTTTAGCTGCGATGACTGCAGTTTTGGTTTTAGCTACGCCTCCCTGAACTTCGGGCTCTTCCAAGCTTAACTTTTGATCAGGACCAGTAGATAACCCTCTTAACTAATTCAAAAGTGCTTAAATTAAGTTTATTTGAATAAATGATTCTATTCTATTCTTGTTATTTTTTTTGTTACATAAAAACATACATATTAATATTATATATGCGATCAGATATACAGACAGATACTTTATTGCTAATTTTTGAAGCTACATATATAACTCAAACTTTTTTCATTGACTATTTCGGGTAAGATTATTAAATATTTTATGCTATCCAAGGTCACAATTCCACGCGAACGAAATCGCGGGCACAACTAGTTGTTAATAAACAGCTGAATAAATCTTAACGAAGTTTGCCACAAAGATAAATTTCGCGCGTACTGACATAGAGTGTCATTTATCGCTAAAACGCATCCAAAGTCGCGGCTAACCGCTAATCATACATCATTTATCGTACCACCCAAAAAAACTTTCAAATATTACTGAATTTTATCATCGCTGATAACCATAAACCAGATAATAATAATAATAATCTCAGGACAATTCACACAGCGCCATCTAGACCCGAGTTAAGCTATCTAAAGCTTGTGTTACGGGTACTAGATAACAGATACAAGTACATAGATATTTCTTTTTCGTAAATACATACGTATTATATATAGAAAACACCCAGACCAATACAAACAATCATACTCATAAATACAAATGATTGTGCCGTGCGAGGAATCGAACCCGCGACCATCGGACGAAAAGCGGTGTGCTAGACCGCTAGACCACCGAGGTCGTCAAATACATAACCAGAAATCGCCCATTAATCTAAGTCGGCGAAAAAAAAATTAACTGAACCCTCAAAACAATCATTAAGTCCAAAGCGCTGTACCCTTTTACCGGGGTGGGGCCTGGCGGTCCCCATTTATCATTAAGACACTGACACCTAATTAACAATTGAAATGTCTGCAACCCAAAAGCGTCGGGTCAGTGAGACCAAGAGATAATCTCGCAAGGTGGTTTTAGACTCGGACCCTCCCTATTTAGAATGTGAAGGGTTTAGAATAAAAAGCAGTTAGGGTGTGCTGGTGACCCAAAGATGTTCAGTGGAGCACATCTTTAAATATTGAACTTGTCTTTTATTTATTTGCTAAAACATGATCAATAGAATAGAATAGAATAGAAGATGAAATTACAAATTAGGGATTTTTGTTATAATAATAATAATAATCACAGGACAATTCACACAGCGCCATCTAGACCCAAGTTAAGCTAGCTAAAGCTTGTGTTATGGGTACTAGATAACTGATACAAATACATAGATAATTTTTTTTTCGTAAATACATAGAAAATACCCAGACCGATACAAACAATCATACTCATGAATACAAAAGTTTGTGCCGTGCGAGGAATCGAACCCACGACCATCGGACGTAAAGCGGTGTGCTAGACCGCTAGACCACCGAGGTCGTCGTTTATATTTTTCGTCGTGTTATATTTTTCTTCAAACTCTGACTATTATACAGTATTATAAAGATATTATTTTTTATGTTGTTTTTCCTTGATTTATTTAGCATGTATTTATTTATGTACATGTAATGGATAACGAGCATGTAAAGGTTAACCTTAAGTTATAATACTCATGAACGTGTGCTGCTTGTAGGGACTGGTCTGCTCTAATCACTATGACTGATTTCCTCTTATTAATTGTTTAACCAGTTGTTGTGTATTCAATATTTTTTCTATTTGATTATTTAATTGAATTAGTGCTATTCGGTAGTTTGTATTCACACACTTAAACTTAAATTGTAAAGTAAGAATAAAATTATTTAAAAGAGCAACACACGAGTTTCTTGCTCGTTCTTCTTGTGATGAGACAGCTTTTCGAATGAGCGGTAGATTAAAAAAAATGTGATGACTATTCAAAAATGCTTCAATGTAAGTTTATTTGAATAATGATTTTCTATTCTATTACGAACAATATGTGAAAAATTGAGTTTCATAAAATAACGAATTTTATATGAAATATTTTACACCTTTGTTACCTGTTACCTGCCAAAGGAACCACAATCCAGGTTTCATGTGTGGTGATCGTTCTTACCTGTGTTGGGGACACACATACAAGAACTTTCACATTTACTAATAAGTCGAATTTCTAGCCATCTTGGGCTATTATACCGACCTCGATGGTCAAGCGGTTTTACTCCAAGCTTTACTTCCGATGACGCGGGTTCGTATTCATTAGTACGATTGTTTGTAATCTGAGTATTTTCTATTATATAATGCATTTATAAAAAAAATCAGTAGGTACTCTAGATCCACGCTAAGCAAAACTGTAGTACCCATAACACAGGTTGGATCTAGATGGCGCTGTGTGCGATATCAATATACATATTGTCCTGCGATATCTATAAATTAATAAGGTAAGGAAAATCTTTGTACCAGTTTTTAGAACAATTGCACACTTATAGTTTATATAGAGAAATAATGGAGAATGCAAATATTCTTTTAAAGTTACGCAGAAAAAAAACATTATATCAGTATTGGTACGTACCAATATCATCATCATCACGTGATGATGCGGCTCGAATGCTTAGATGGTAGATGATGTTGCGGCTCGAATTATATGGTAGGTTTGATGGCTTCAGCAGATTACAGGGTTGTTGAAAATGATAGAATTTGCTTACTATCTTAAATTTAATGGTAAATATACTATTAATTACAAATTTGGTTGAGTGAACAAATTATACGTTGATTTTTGAAGTCTGGACGTTACTTTGCGTATTTAAAATTGGATGGGTGTGCGGTCCAATCAGAACGCTCCCTTTGTATTGCGTTCTGTTACTGCTTGGTACGCGACAGTAATATAAATATAAAGTAAATAAATAAATAAATTACACAATTCGCGATCCGCCCCTGCCGATAAGGGTTTGAACCTCGGCTCAAGCCGTTGTAATTTTGATCCCCGTTTGAATGAGACGTTACTCTTACGTTTACGGACGTTGTAATTAATGAAATGATATATTTTCAGGTTACAAGATGTCGCTAGCTGTGTGCAGAGATCGCCTGACAGGTTCAGATGCGCCTGAGGAGCTGTGCGACTCGTCCAGTAAACCACAGGCTTCTGTCGTCAAATGTAACACCCATCCGTGCCCGTTCAAGTTAGTATGACTATTCATCATTAGTATTTATTTGTGTTACTAGTAAATTATACTTTGTAGTTATATAGTTCACCTACTAGCTGACCCTACTACTAGCTGATTCCGTTCCGCCTCAAAATTAAATATGTCAAAGGTTTTTTGAAGTTTCTTGTCAGTTCTTCTCATCTCGATATCATTCCGAACTGACGGTAGATTTGACATATCATAAGAGTCTGTAATAGACCTACATGAATAAAGATTTTGAATTTGAAAAATTTTAGTTACGCAATAAATTTTGTTTGCCAGGTATCAGCAGTTTGTATGGGAAAATAAAATTGTTGTTTTTACTATTTTACATCCAATTTTTTCATACTTTATCACCGTTTCAACCTTCCTTGGACTTGCACGAATATTTTAATACCAAAATTAGGCAAATCAGTTCAGCCGTTCTCGAGTTTTAGGGAGACTAACGAACAGCAATTAATTTTATATATACATATAGATTTATATTGTTAGTATGACTACTTATTTGTATTACTAACTGACCCTTCAAACGTTATTTCGCCATATAAATTAAAATCGCTATTAAACAATAGGGGTTGATGGTAGAAGGGTGAACATTTAGGGTTGTGTATATTTTTAATGCCACATTACAAAAAAATGTCCAAAAAAGTATAAAAAATGTTAGGGATGGACAACCCTCATCACTTAGGGGTATCAAAAATAGTAGCCGATTCTCAGATAGCTCGTTCTTCTTGTGATTAGTTAGGAATGAGTGTTGGAATATAAAATATATGACTATTCAAAAGCGCTTATATTAAGTTTATTTGAATATAGATTATAACTATGTTTATTTCTATTTCCAATTGCATAAGAAATTTGTCTAATTACCTAACTAACTACCCACCCCGGCTTCGCACGGGTGTACATGCATTATAACATATAAACCTTCCTCTTGAATAACACTATTTAGTAAAAAAAATCGCTTCAAAATCCGTTCCGTAGTTTTAAAGATTTAAACATACATAAGGACGGACAGACAGCGACAGCAACTTTATTTTATATGTAATGATATCCAAAATACAAGTATCTAAAATCGTTTTGCGCAGATGGTACGTTGGTGAGTGGTCATCGTGCAGCGTGACCTGCGGTGGTGGAGTTCGCACCCGCCGCGTCCTCTGCGCCAGATCCGCTAACATCACCAGGGCTGACACTTACGAACCTGGTAAGTAATGAACAGGGTATATAATAATACTAGCTTACCTATGCGACATCGTCTGCATCACACTTACTTGACATTTACCATTATATTTCGCACAATTCACATTATATCTTTTTAAGCTACTTTACTACTTACAACCTACTAGCTGTGCCTACCGTTTAACAAGCGTGAAATGTATAGCCTATATATTATTTTGATATATAAACTATATTAGTGTAAAGTTTCATCAAAATCCGTCCAGTATTTGTAAATACATACAATATATTTGTATGATATTAAATACCCAAACCGATAGAAACAATCATTTCATGAACAACTTTGTACCGTCCTAGGAATCGAACCCGCAACTATCTATTGAGTCTGACTGAGACCACTGAAGTGTTAGTATCCCTCATATATGGAGGCATGATACCTTAAGAAAGAAAGAAAGAAAAATATTTTATTCAGTGCAATGTAACAAAAATACAATATAAACAACAAACGAGAAAAAAAAATGAGCAAATAAAATGTACATATAATTAAACTTAGGAATGGCAATGCATAGATAAACAGAATATACTTAAGAAATTAGATATATAACTATATCCATATATAATGTGTAGTCACTTGAAACATTTGTATCCTTTCTATAAAAAACTACAATAAATCTTGTCAAATAAACCACTATTTCATACAAAATCCACTGACAATGTAAAACGTACTTTAAAACAATTATATATAAAAGTTTGAAATAGAAATATATATGCAATAGAAAGATGGAGCGCTGAAGTAGGAGAGTTTTGAATTTAATATGTACTTGCAAAGAACTTTCTAGAAATGTACTCGTATTCTGAACAGAGCTAAACTTAAACTGACTACTTATATAAAGGAATATTAATGTAACAGTCTTGTATTATGTGGCTAGTCCGATGCTTATGTAATGTGGACTCCAGTCTCCGCAATTAAAAACTAAAATAAACTATTAAAAAAAACCGCTTCAAAATCCGTTGCGTAGTTTTAAAGATTTAAGTATACATAAATGAGAAATGTCAAAAAAAGATATATAAATATATAGCAAAATATTTTAAATATAAATTCCTATATAAAAAAAAACATACATACATAAATATAAAGTATATAAGTACAGACTATAATTGAAAGTAACAAAAAGAAACCAAATATAGAGAGAACTATAGGGAAATAACAGAAAGATGTGAAAAACAAGGACAGTAAAAAAAAATTACAAATTTTACTTTTATTATATATTTTTTATACTACTATGGTGGCAAACAAGCATACGGCCCATCTGATGGTAAATGGTTACCGTAGCCTATGGACGCCTGAAGCACCAGGGGTACCACGTGCGCGTTGCCGACCCTTAAGAAACCTTATGCCCTTCTTGAAAAACCCCATGCTGTAGTCTCGTGGGAAAACCTCGGCAGGAAGTTCATTCCACAATCTAAGTGGTTAAGTTATTATATTTATTCAACAGCATCCAGCTCTGAACCTGGCTGCGTATCTCCCGCGCCTAGGTCCACCCAGCCCTGCAATACTCAGGAATGTCCCAACTGGATAACTGGACATTGGTCAGGGGTGAGTGATTTTTTTTTATTAATCGTAGTATTACTTAAAGCAATATTATAAACTTTGAAAATGTGTAATTTACAAACAATGAATGGCATAAAAATGTATTTAAATAAAATTAAGAATACAACTTTGGCAGCAAACAACGATATTTTGTTATGAATTTATACGTGAATCAACTTTATATTTACTTTATGTTTTTAACACTAAACTGTACTACAGTTAGAAATTTACAAAAAATCAATACCAGGTAAGAATGGGGGGTCATCCCAATACCGAATTATATGGCAAGGGGTCTACGACACAAAAAAGTTTGGGAACCTCGGTTTACACAATACATTTGACTCAGTTAGTTGTGGTAACTGAAATGGAATCATTTCATTTACCACAACTAATTACCACAACAATATTAATATACCTGGACAATTTATACAGCGTCAACTAGACCAAAACCAAGCAAAGCTTGTTGGTACTAGACAACTGATACAAATACATACACACATTTTTATTATAAATACAAACATAATATACATAGAAATATATATGAATCTTTACATAGTATAGAACAAACCGCTGTCTGGTCGCTTATATCTTTTAAATTACTACTTTCATGCAGTTTTCAGCTATAGAGGGATTCAAGAGGAAGGTTTATATGTATAACTAGCTTTTGCCCGCGGCTTCGCTCGCGTTAATTTATCCCCTTAGGGGAGGAATTTGTCAAAATCCTTTCTTAGAGGATGCCTACGTTATAGTAGCTTTATGCATGCAAAGTCTCAGTCCGATCGGTTTAAAATTGACAAAGTTTCATAAAAACTTTCATCCCCTATTTTATCCCCTTGGGGATAGAATTAATCAAAATCCTTTCTTAGCGGATGCCTACGTCATAACATCTACCTGCATGCCAAATTTCAGCCCGATCTGTCCAGTGGTTTGGGCTGTGCGTTGATAGATCACTATGTCAGTCACCTTTGTGTTATACAATAAGATACAGCATGTTATAGTATAGAGCAAGCTTATAAATTTTGAATGCATCCGTCCCGCCGGGAGCGATTGCTGGAAAGAAATAAATAGATACCAGAATAAACAGTTTCTTTGCATTTCTTAACAAGCAAGTAGGTACTTACATTTATAGAACTTACAAATATAAGTTTTACAAACAAAATCAAGTAAGAGCGACGTGGAACGTTGGAAATTGAGAACGAACGCCCAACGGCGTCTATCCTTCAGTCCGCCCCAAAATATAGCCACATAAAACTTTATAGACAGTGTAAAAGTATTGAAAATTTGCAACAATGTTTCGCTGTGTTTCACTGGGATGTTTTAACATTGTTATATTTTATTTATTTAATTCAGGTTACATGGCCCATATTATAAATACCTTATAGACTAACATACATAAGAAATAATAATAAAATATGAAAAATAAAATTGTCTCTATGGTCACGGCACTGACGACGGCAATCTGCCACGGTAGCGCCGATAGACCACCCCCTTCGGACAGTAGTCCTCCTTCATGAAGGTGGGCAGCATGTTGGTGGGGACCAGGGCCACGAACGCTTTGAAGCTCGCGTTGCGGCTCGATTCCAACTGCGTCACCCTCAATGTCAGGTTGCTTTTAGTCCGGATGTAGTCAACACTGTCCTGTTCCTTGGTAGCGTAGTGTAGGCGGGTTAGGTACATTGCCGTTGTCGGTGTTGCGGCACGTAACAAGAAGTTGGGCCCTGTCAGTGCTGTGCCACAATGGTTTCGATTGACCATAGAATTGGAGGTGCGTTTAAAAAATACCTTTATGATCGCATAAACAGGTTACAATCTACGGGATCTCGCTTAAATGAAATTATTTATAATCTCGGTCGCTCGTAAACTGGTTAATGTTCTAGACGCGCGGTACAGTGCCAAGCCAAGTCTAAAACAAACACATCAGGAATTCAGGATGCATTTTCAAGTTATTTTAAACTAGTAGTTGGCCTTGGAATCGCCTGTGAGCTCATAAGTTTGTGAATTCTATATATATTAACATAATATCTTGCCTATGTCACTCTGGAATAATGTATTTATTCAATGAAAGAATTTCTCAATTCGATGTAGCATTTCCGGAGTTAACATCCTTATAATAAAATACTCGTTCTTTAAACGATCAGTATACATATGGCCAACTAACTTATTTTCTATAATATACGGAAGGTTTTGTTTTGTATTTCAAATTAGCGTAACTTCTATAGATATGTTACTTGTTGATAAAAACTTGCCGACTTGTTTTTCATTTCAATTATTGAATTTTAATTTATCCTGAATTATCACAGTATGTTAAAATTGATACAAAACATAACTCTATAAAACAAAGTATAATATATTTAATTCGACTGTTCTATGACTATATATATATATATACATTTAATATTTTTGTATATATTTTATATTTATTTTGTATATAATGTAATATTTCAATTGCAAACACTGTTGTAACAAAAGATGTATTTTAATTTTAAATTGTTTTAATACATTAAGATATAAATTGAAGCAATATATACTGAACTTTAGATATGTTCATTTTAAATATGTATATTATTAGATTTACATATATACTTTTTTAAGGACCACATTCATGGTTATACACAAAATATCCGGAACTCAATAAAAATAAAAAAAACATAAGATCACGTGATTTTCTTAATTTTACGTATACATTTACATATCTTTAGACGAGACTGACTTGGCCCTCGTTTTCACAAGTATGTTTTTGATAAGATGTATTAGACGATGCGCGTCGTAGTAAATTTTTGTAATACAGTAAAGGAAATAAAATGTGAATAAATATGCAGTAAACAAGTTAAGTGTATATTCACTACTAGATATGCAAAACATAGTAAGAATACAATACATACATCTAGATATATATAACTCAAAGGTGACTGACATAGTGATCTATCAACGCACAGCCCAAACCACTGGACGGATCGGGCTGAAATTTGGCATGCAGGTAGATGTTATGACGTAGGCATCCGCTAAGAAAGGATTTTGATTAATTCTACCCCCAAGGGGATAAAATAGGGGATGAAAGTTTGTACGAAACTTTGTCAATATTAAACCGATCGGGCTGAGAATTTGCATGCATAAAGCTACTAAGACGTAAGCATCCCCTAAGAAAGGATTTTGATAAATTCTACCCCTAAGGAGATAAATTAACGCGAGCGAAGCCGCGGGCAAAAGCTAGTGTATATATATATTTTTCTGGACAATTAACGCAGCGCCATCGAGTCCCACGATAGGCAGAGCTTGTGTTATGGGTACTAGACACCTGACTTACATTTTTATATATTTTTTAAATAATAACCCTGAACAAAGACAGCGCCATCTAGTCTCAAGATAAGCAGAACTTGTGTTACAAGTACTAGACAAATTATAGAATACTTAAATACAGTTTTGTAAATACATACATAATATACATAGAAAACATCCATATACAAACAATCATACTCATGAATGTTTGTACCGTGCGAGGAATCGAACCTGCGACCATATGGAAGCATGACAGTATGCTAAAGCGGTAGACCACCGTACGTCTTATTACAGCAGACCATATTCTTTGTGGTCCTTTGAGCCGGATCGAAATGTCTTGTCCAGGATTATTTAATAAGGATATATAATTAAATGTCAAGGTTAAAATAGACTTTAATGTAAGCATATTAAAGTCTAAAATGTAACGTAATTTCACGACCGGCTCTTGAGCTAAGCGGCTATATTCATTATGAACACACCTCATATTCGAAGCCGCAAGCGACAAACTTACAGTAACAAGACTCGAACTTACAACCACTCTAACATACTCTTGTGTATTTAGTTTAAGCCGCTGGCACTAATTTAATCCAGTTGTTACATTAATAATAATAAATTGATGCCCTCGATGGTGTAGTGGTTTAGTACACTGCCTATGATCGCGGGTTCGATTCCTGGCATGGTGCAAACATCTTATACATAAAATTCTCGTGTCACAGTTTTCGTTCCCATACTCCTCCGAAACGGCTTGACCGATTCTCATGAAATTTTGTGAGCGTATTGAGTAGGTCTGAGAATCGGCCAACATCTATTTTTCATCCCCCTAAATGTTAGGGGTAGTCCACCCCTAAATTTTTTATTTTTATTTTAAGGCAAAACAACGTTTTCCGGGACAGCTAGTTTATATATATCAGCCTGTGTGTATGTAGGTGCATTATGTTTGTATTTACAAAACTGTTTTTAAGTATTCTATCACATCAAATTCAAATTCAAATTCAAATTCAAAAATCATTTATTCATGTAGGACATTTTAGCCACTTATGAACGTCAAGTTTTTACATTATAATTTTTTTCCCTACCGTCCAGTTCGGTATATAGATCCAATTGAGAAGAACTGGCAAGAAACTCAATTGAATTACTTTTTTTTAAATCCAGTTTATTTACAATGCATAGGTATTTATATAGGTGTCTATGTCTAACATTAAATGAAAATCCCGAACATGAAAACTATTGCCATGCACGCTCGTCATTCAAGTAATCGTTTAGTGAGTAATAGGCCTTGCTCAGTAAATATGATTTAACAGATGTTTTGAATTTATTTAAGGGTAATTCCAGTATATCCTTTGGTATCTTATTGTAAAGTTTTATAACTATTCCCATAAAAGACCTATTGACTTTTTCTAAACGATACTTGGGGACAGCAAGTTTGTCTTTAAATCTAGTATTAATATTATGAATATTTTACTTATAACACAAGCTCTGCTCAGCTTGAGACTAGATGGCGCTATATTTGTTCAAACTTACTATTGTTATACTGTATTGTTTTTTTAATGACAAGTTACAGTTAAAGTAAGGTCTATATGATACATATAAAGTAAACAGTTTGAGTGTCTACTATTCTCATTACTTAAAAATACAGCTAATTATGATATAACTACCAGACCCAGCCAAATGTTGCTGTGGCTGAGGTTTATGAATAAAATAATATTGCGACTATAAATTGAGATGTAAGCTATAGTATCTTTCAAGTTGGATCAAATTGCACACAATGTGCAAATCAAATTTGCAATCGGTTCAGTAGTTTAGGAGTATATCACGGACAGACAACGTGGCACGTAATTTTTAAGTTATATATAAAATTCTCGTGTCACGACGTTAGTTACCATACTCCTTCGGAACAACATGACGGATTTTTATGACTTTTTATATGCATATTCAATAGGTCTGAGAATCGGCTACGATTTATTTTTCATAGCGATAAGTGATAAGGGTTGTCTACCCTTAACATTTATTTTTTATTGTTTGGACATTGTTTAGTTTTTTATAATGTGGGATTAAGAAATACACACAACCCTAATCTTTTTCCACCTCTAACAATTTTTTTTGTACAATATTTTTTTTATTATGTGGCATTAAAAATATATACAACCCTAAATTTTCACCCTACTATCACCAACCCCTATTTTTTATAACGCTATTAATATATGGAAAAACAACATTTGCGGGGTCAGCTAGTTATATAAATACTTTCCCAAGTAAACTTGAATTTAAATTGATTTAATTAACTAGTTTCAATTCTCAGTTCGAATAGGTATTAGGTCTTAGATATAAGTTTGTTAGGAGCTCGTTACATGAACTCTGCTCTCGCTGGAAGGCATCTGTTCCACCGTTACATCAGATTACAGTACGGGAGATGAGAACAGATTCTCTAACCATTATAATAGTATGTGATTGTCAATTTTAATGTTTACTTTGTTATTTGTAGTTTAAAACTTAACTTAATATGCTCACATTGTATTTTACTGATAAAGGCTATAACAGAATAGCAGAGAGGGTGGACTCACTGCCCTCACTGAGTTATAGACCGTTTTGTCTCATTCATTAGTTTTAAATTATATTATTCTATGGGCAATAGTTGTATTGTGTAAAAAGTTTTTGTTTGGGACAAATAAAGATTATTATTATATATATATCTACCTTTTTACGGGGGTAAAATATTCAAACAACAAATAACTCTTCTCAATTTATACAGCATGCAAAATATCAAAGTCACGTGAACTATTTGAAATACTGGCTGTACCTATTTTTTTTACTTAACTCTTTATTGCACCTTAAAAAATAAAAAAAAACAATATTCATTATATACAGAAAGGTAGACGTGGTACAAAAGGCGGTCTTATCGCTAAAGCGATTTCTACCAGACAACCTTTGGGTAGAGCAGAAAAGATAGAAGGTGGTGGATGGCGCAAGATGGCATGAATAGACATAAATAATATTTAAAATTTATAGCATATATGTTAATATAACTATTACTTACTTAGTTACTATACTATAACTTTTAAAGACTTTACTTTTATAAGATTTTTGCTATGCTACAAAAGTTAATCAGTCATGTATAACAAAGAAACATGATATTGATGTCAAAGGTATTTGCGATACGTCGTCTTAAACTTGAAGGAAAATATATTTTGCATTAAATAAGGGATATCCTCAATTTTTTTTAATTGCAATAGTAATTACATAAATCATTTATTCAAGTAGGGCACTTTAATCTCTTATGTATAAGCTATATCACTGTAAAGTTTAATCAAAATCCGTTCAGTAGTTTTTGCGTGAAAGAGTAACAAACATCCATACTTACAAACTTTCACGTTTATAATATTAATAAGATTTTATATTTGTTATCCAGTGCTCAGTATCGTGCGGCGAAGGTGTGCAGGTCCGGGGGGTGGAATGCACCCCGCCGGGGGGTGGCTGTGACCCTGCGAACCGTCCGGAGATCTCCCGCCCCTGTTCTACTGGTATCAGCTGTCCGTCTTATAGGGAGTCGGATGAACCTGAGGTAAATAAACAAAACTGTTTCAAGCTTCAGAGCTTCATCAACCAGAAAATCATTACTACAACTAATATATATGTACATATATATAAATATAATAAAAAAGATAAAGTAATTCAATTGAGTTTCTTGCCAGTTCTTCTCAATTAGATCTATATACTGAACTGGATGGTAGAGAAAACATTCATAATGACGTTCGTAAGCGGCTAAAATGTCCTACATGAATAAATGATTCTTGAATTTGAATTTGAATACATCGTTTAAACATTCTTCTTTGTCGATTCCTCAAGGCAGAGGGTCGTGACCACCAGGAATGTTTCTTCCAACCAATCATTTATTTATATGTACAGAATTAAAACGTAGTAATAATAATAATCTCAGGACAATTCACACAGCGCCATCTAGTCCCAAGTTAAGCTATATAAAGCTTGTGTTACGGGTACTAGACAACTGATACAAATACATAGATATCTTGGAGGCTGGTTATTTATATGAGATACGTATAATGTTGAAATAGAAATAATTTTTATACAAATAAACTCGTTACAAGCGCTTTTGAATAGTCATATTTTGATTCTACCACTCATTCGAATTGCAGATTCATCACAAGAAGAATAAGCAAGAAACTTGTGTGTTGCTCTTTTCAATAGATTTTTTTTTTATATAAATAAGTAAAGTATAACAACTAAGAGGCATGCGGAAATCAACGTAGAAATCACTACGCACTCATTATTAGTGTAATCAGATAATATTGTCAGCGCTATAGATTTAAAATTTTTCTATAAAAACATTTTTGAATTGTTCAACTTTATAGTAAGATTTTTCACAATGGAAGTGTTTTATATGACATTTAAATCTTTTTTCATTTTAAAATAAATTGAGATGTAAGCTATAGTATCTTTCAAGTTGGATCAAATTGCACACAATGTGCAAATCAAATTTGCAATCGGTTCAGTAGTTTAGGAGTATATCACGGACAGACAACGTGGCACGTTATTTTTAACTTATATATAAAATTCTCGTATCACAACGTTAGTTACCATACTCCTCCGAAACGACATGACGGATTTTTATGACTTTTTATATGCATATTCAATAGGTCTGAGAATCGGCTACGATTTATTTTTCATAGCGATAAGTGATAAGGGTTGTCTACATTAACAACATTATTGAATTCTTCAATTTTATAGTAAGCTTTTTCACAAAGGGAGTGTTTTATATGACATTCAAAATCTTTTTTCAGGCAGATTTATAATAGACACTTGTATTTTTGTAAAACCTTACGTAATTACCATAAAACACAACTGAAAGACTTTTTAAAATCCTTTTAACTAGGATGAAATAGAAGATCTTCTTCCGGGTGTGGTATACCACACACAGCCTCTTATACAGCCATATCCGCCTGCTCAAGCGAAGGCTGAAAGGCTGATAGGAGAACCCGACGTGCCAGTGGAAGCCACGTAAGTTTGCATTTGAATATACATATATAAACTTACTGTAGTTCTGTTTGTGGAAGCAAAAAAGTATCAAGTTGTATCCTTGACGGATTTCCCCAAGTAAAAAAAAGTAACACTGGATAATTATCACAGCGCCATCTAGTCCCATGGTAAGCAGATCTTGAGTTATGGGTACTAGACAAATGATATAAATACTTAGATATTTTTTTGTAAATACATACATATTATACATGGAAAGCATCCAGACCGATACAAGCAATCATACTCATGAATACAAATGTTTGTGCCGTGCGAGGAATTGAACCCGCGACCATCGGTAAGGCGGTATGCTAAACCGATAGACCACCGAGGCCGTCAAACATAGGTGTCTATGTCTAACATTATATATATATATATATATTATTACGGTTATTTAACCTGAAATATTACGGTTATTTAACCTGAAATATTTGCTATTAGGTATGCATATTATAAAATGGTATAAATAATATCGAATTTAATTAAATTCTCGCATCTGTAACTAAATAATATTTATGTTTATTTAACAGTAACATATTATGCAAAGTTTACGTTCAAAATGCAATACCGATTCTCCGGTTATTCAATAATGAAATCAATACATATATTTATTACAGTGTATCAATGAAACTCGTTATAATAAAATCTATAAATATAAATAAAATTGGAGTATCTGTTTGTAATATTGAAATAACCGTTTTTTACTACATGCATATGAATATAAATACGGTACATAGACCAAAATAACATTTTTTACAATTTTGTCTGTCTATCTGTTTGTTCCGGCTAATCTCTGAAATGGCTGAACCGATTTTAACAGGACTTTTTTGCCAAGTAGCTGATGTAATAAGGAGTAACTTAGACTACTTTAATTTCAGAAAAATATCCTTTTTTAGAAAAATAAAATTCAATTCTAGGCGGACGAACTCGCGGGTACAGTTAGTTTGTAATAAAATTATTGTAATCATTTTTGCCTCCACAACTCGTCGATTGAAAATGTTTAATTAAATTCTGAAAATTGTTTCTCTGTTTTTTTATTGTGTTGTAAATTTTTCGAAATACAATAATAGTAATTATATTCTGTTTTGATTATTATTATACTATATTAATATAGTATGAATAAAAATAGTTTCATAATTATATTTTAAAAAAATGTATTATTTAATTATGAAATAATACATAATTATTTAATATAAAATAAAACAATATTAAAAGAGAATTTGTATTTAGCATATTTACTTTTACATAAAATAATAGTAATTATATTTCATTTACAATATTTATGTAATAGTGTTTTAATTTTAATTATATAGTTATAAAAATTAAATTTCGTATTTATTTTAATTCATTTTGCTTTATACAATCTTTATTTAAAATTTTCCTATCATTATTAACCTAATGAATAATTAAAGAGTCATTATATTATTTATTTTTCTATGTTTTAGTATATTTTAGTACATATTAACCATTTACATTTGCTACAATTATTTTAGAATATATATATATATAATATGTACTCTATAGGATGTCTTGTTCCGATAAAATTAGGAATAATTTTAATATTATTTACATTATTGTTTCCACACTATTACCAATGATAAATGAATTTATTGTTAAATACACATATTTCATTAATTTAATTGTTTACTGTATATTACAGTTACTATTATTGAATTTTATCTGTCTGTAACTTTATCGGAACAAGAAATCCTATAGAGTACATCTATAGGATTTTTTGTTCTGATAAAGTTAGGAATAATTTTAGTAATATTATTATTATTGTTTGCACACTATTAACAATGATAAATGAATTCATTGTTAAATACACATATTTCATTAATTTAATTGTTTACTGTATATTATAGTTACTATTATTGAATTTTATCTGTCTGTTCAAATAGCTCAGAGTATTTTGTTCTTGTCTCTTTCAGCAATTACAAAATATTCTTTGCGTGTGGCTGGTTGTATGTAAGGTATTGTACCTGCATATACAGATATTTTAAAGGTTTCACTTTTAAATTCGAGAACATCACACATTTTTACAAGGAATGACATTACCCCCTCATTGAACCCAACACATGCCCCGTGCTATAGTTTTAGTTTAATATACCACCTCGATATTGTTATTAATTTTGTTCAAAAATGTTATGTTATATATAATTGGAATAACTTCGGTTTGAGTACAATTTAGTTTTTTCTTAATCATTATATTTCATAAGGTATTTATATGTTTAAATAAATATAAATAATAAATTTCATTGTCATCGTTTATCATCATTAATAATTTGTAATTGTAATTTATAAATAAGACTTAACATAAATTGTATAATATTATTGAAATTTTAAATTACAAAATTCCAAATTCAAATTTCTAATTCGAAATTTACGACTATTTAATGACTATTTTATGACTATTTAATGAACATTTTTGAACAATTGCACTATTGTATTAATGGAATTTGTAGATTATACAAAACTGAACCTTACTGATGTTTTATTAGTAGCAAGTTGTTTGTACGGACCCGAAGAACTTTCTAGATAACAGCAGTAAACCTCACTCAAAGATTGAAGTTCAAATTTGTATGCACGAGTCCCTTATCACACGAACCCTTCAAATCATTACCCTTCACGGATCATTTGTCTCACTCTACGATACTTGACTTGCCTTTTTCTACTCTATATGCACTGCACATAACGTTTAAATTTCCTTGCACATAATACCACACTATGAAAATTTGTCTTGCATTATTTTGTTTCGCTTACACGTTTCCGATACTCTGAAAAACTTAACATTTCTGGCACACACTGACACTGCTACATTGTTTTCTTCGAAAATTTGTCAATTTGAACAATACACTTTAGATTCTATTGTAATAAGTATAAAGTTAATATTAATGTGTTCAGATTTGCAGGTGAAAGGCATACAATTGGCGGATAAATACCACATAACAAAAACACTGGTGCATATACTTCTACATAAACCAGCCAGAATTATTTATTAGGACCCCTTATAATTAGAACCTAAGCACCCCGCATGATACCAACATTGTGTGAATCTTCAATAGACATTGTTAGCATAGATGTGTCCATTTAATAATTAACTTAAACAAAACACTCATAAGGTATATTTTGTTTTGATAGCTACATCAAAGATGATGAATGGGGGCCGTGCAGCGTCACATGTGGTGAAGGTTGGAGAAAGAAGGAAGTCCACTGCAAGATCTTTCTAGAATTTAGCAGGACTATTGCTAAATTGCCAGACAATAAGTGTATGGGTCCCAAGCCTGCTGAGGATACAGAGAGATGCGTTATGGAACCCTGTTCCATGGCATATGGCACGTCATTTGGAGACTCCAGTGTACCTTCATACAGTAGTGGAGATAGGTAAGCATATTATTATTTAATATAATTTATCGGTGATGTTTTTTTTCATAATACTAGGGACAAATGAGCATGCGGCTCATCTGATGGTAAGTGATTACCGCCGCCCATGAGCATCCGCAACACCAGGGGAATTGCAAGTACGTTGCCGACCTTTTAAAAAGGAATAAGCTCTTTTCTTGAAGGCTTCAATTTCGGTTCGGAAATACCATTGCTGGAAGGTGATTCCACAATGTGGTTGTGTGAGGCAAAAAGTTTCCGCTATTCATCCAGATGATCAGGATGGTATTTGGTATGGGTACTAGACAACTGATATAAATAATTAATTTTTTTTTTTGTAAATACATACATAATAAACGTAGAAATCATCCAGACAAGACAGATACAAACAATCTTGAATGCAAATGTTTGCACTGTGCGAGGAATCGAACCCGCGACCATTGGAAGTAAAGCGTGTGCTATATATATGTCTAGTGTACTACTATTTTCATATATTATGTAATTCATATTATTTGATTTGTACTTTCTAAATTTATCTCTGATCTTTATTCAGTTACCGACGACATTTTCGATTTTCTTTTGCTATGTCTGAAAACCTGTTATTGGCTTTCTCTATAAATATACTCTTAATTTAATGTATTGGATTGAAAACTGTTGGTTTTCTAGTAAATAAATGGTATTACCATGTCTTATTTCTATTTCTGTCGCCCCCCTCCGATCGATCCCCCGTCCAATTCAAACGGGGATCGAAATTACAACGGCCTGAGCCGAGGTTCGAACCTCTAGCGGTGTCCTCAGACTAAAGTCGTATCAGTCAGGTGAGAGTTGGCCTTCAACCGCTCCATAAGTCCTTCCTTTGGTTTGGAGTGTCATCTGCACTCGCCCCTATCGTCCGGTGAAGTTGTAAAGGCCAGCTGCGGCCAATAGCTTTAGAGTAGTCCGAAAAAAATTATTTGTGTCTTTGATATATTCTTACTTTGTTCTATTTCTGTCTTTTAATACCGTGATAATTGTGAACTAAACTTGGCAGTCTAGTGTTAGGGCTGCCATGTTATTGAAATCAAAGTTAACTAGCGAAACGGCATTAAGCGAGCTATGTTAATTAACTTCCAACTTGTGCCTCCAATTAACAATGGAAGGAACTATGCTCCTTTAGTTTGGTGCGGCTTCGAGTCTCGCTTGGTATTTTACATACATGCTAATTGTAGAGGAATTAGGCAAAATAATATTGTTTACGTTTACTAAATAGATTATGTTATATTTTAAATTTATAAGTATAATTAGGTAAAATTGCGGGATCTGATCGGGAATGTTTTATTTATTTTTATTGAGTTCCCGATATCTTGGCCGTGTTTCAATAAACGTGGAGGTTTTTAAGTGTCCATCGGATGGATGTTTGTTACTCTTTCACGCAAAAACTACTAAATGGATTTTAATGACACTTCACAGTAATATATCTTATGCATCTATACGGGTAAACTGAGTTTCAGTAGTTTGGATGCAGAAATAAACAATGTATGACAATAATGTCCAATTTACACTCAGCCCAAGTGAGCAGCGCAAGAGTGTAAACACGAGTGGAAACACTTCCCATGCCATTGGCGCTGCCACTCGCGCTGTCCGGCGCTCCCTCGATTATCGGTTTTTCGTGCGCGAGTCAAAGGACTGGCAGCGCGAGTGGCAGCGTGTTTTTACATTCAGCCCTCTCGCTCAGTTGTCGCCCTGCAATATTTCCGGCAGCGCGAGTGGCAGAGCTGAAGTGTAAACGTAACATAACAGATAAGTTTAAAATCTTTATTATTGAAATATATTTTATTTCGATTCTTTTAATTTATTATAATAAGTATAAGAAATAGTTTACTAAAAAAAAATAAAAAATACAATTGATTTAAAACAATAAACCAACCAACAAATCAAATGCAGTCAACTTTCCAGTAACATACAATCTATGAAGAAATCAGTATCAATTTTTACTTATAATATAAACGTGGAAGTTTCTAAGTGTGGATGACTAAAAAATAAATGACTTAATCATACAATTTATTGAAAATGATTTATTATTTTCTTTATTTATTATTAAAACAAATTAAAGCCTTCAACTGCATTTAACTTTCAAGTACCTGTTTGTATGTTTAGATGGATGGATGTTTGTTACTCTTCCACGCAAAAACTACTAAATGGATAATGAAGCTTTACAATAATGTAGTTTACGTATCAGAGTAATAACTAAGCTATAAATTTCACGGGTAAAACCGCGGGTGCAGCTAGTATTATCAATATACTGTACACAGCTTCTAAGAGCATCTTGTGTTTTACTACCCGTCTTCAACTCCAAAGGTCGTGAATACAAATTTGATCGACGCCTTAAAACTGCATGTATTTGACAAACTTTCCTATGGCTCCAATAGCAAATTGATCAGGGATGTCGGTACGCTCGCCCTTCGGGACGTTGGTTTCGAATATACCAAGCAATATCTTGACACGTACTGAAACCTCTCATCCAGGAGAACTGTCGTAAGGACACTATTAAATTTCATTATTATCTACATCATATTCGTTACTGTTATCTATTCTGTTCCTTAATTTTATTAAAAATCTTATCCAAAACACCATTTTCAATTGATTCCTGTACTACATCATTAATTTTTTCCTTCAAAACATCTGTATCCTCAGGAACTTCATCCGCTGATGTTTCTTGAATCTCTTCAGAGTCTTGTGGAGGTATTTCGTTTTCTAATAGAGTGTTGACTGCTTTCAGTTCCACCATAGCAACTGCTAAACCATATTGTCGTGCCTCATTTATTTCATCTTCAAAATCTTCTATCGGATAAAGTGAATTGACATCTAATTCGTATATCTCCAAAGTTGACTTTAGAGTGTCATAGTAATCGCTTTTTAGCCTCTCCAAATATTCAGATCTAAATACAGAATTTGTACAAAGATATAGGAAGTAAATTATATCTGTGACTGGACTGGCGTAGCGTACTGCTTGAAAATCGATGAAACATACATGAGTTGGTTTGTTTACCTAAAACAAAGCATTATATTATAGCACAACTAGCTACTCGCCCTGGCTTCGCCCGGGAGTACATGTATTATAAACTATCTATTAAAAAAACCGCTTCAAAATCCGTTGCGTAGTTTTAAAGATTTAAGCATACATAGGGACGGACAGACAGCGACAGCGACTACTGTTTTATACTATAACATACAAATAAAGTGCAGCCTATAGAATGTTTATAATATTATTTCAGGACAATTCACACAGCGCCATCTAGTCCCAAGCTAAGCAGAGCTTGTGTTATGGGTACTAAACAACTGATATAAATACATGGATACATTTTTTTTTGTAAATAAATACATATTATACATAGAAAACACCCAGACCGATACAAACAATCATACTCATGAATACAAAATGTTTGTACCGTGCGAGGAATCGAACCCACGACCATCGGATAGTAAAGCGGTGTGCTAAACCACTAGACCACCAGGCTGTCAATGTTATAAGTAGATATTAGTATCTATGAATGTATTTAATTAGAATAGATTATTTAATAAAAATATAATGTAATCGACATTCCACATTTATCAATGTACTAGCTGGTATAACTTCGTCTGCGTTTCATTGCCTTTCCTTTTGCAATATTTTTCATTGCAGCTCCGCTCCTATTGGTCGTAGCGTAATATTATATAGCTTAAAGCTTTCCACGACATATGGACTATCCAGCACAAAAAGAACTTTTCAATTCGAACCAATAGTTCCTGAGAGTAGCGCATTCTACCAAACAAACAAAATCTTCAGTTTTATAATATTAGTATAGATTAGAAAATTATTCAATAAATCATTGTTATGACGTATTTCTTGATACAATAGTGTTCGCTGAACAAAGAAAAGAAAGAACTAGAAGTAGAAATACAAAAAAATATGCAAAAGAATTCACAATAATTATGAGAATTTCTTATTTATAGCTAAGGAACTTCTGTCACATACACTGTATACATCATCATCATCATCATCTCAGCCAGGAAGACGTCCACTACTGAACAAAGGCCTCCCCCAAAGATCTCCACGACGATTGGTCCTGAGCTGCTCGCAACCAATACCTTCTAGCGATCTTGACCAGATCGTCGGTCCACCTTGCTTGCCTTCCCACGCTACGTTTTCCGTTTCTGTGTACCCGTGATGGTAAAGCCAAGGTGCATCTCTTCTAGTCTAGTCTAGTCTCATGATAACTTAATAATGCTATTCTACAACTATGCTATGCTATTGCAAACTGACAACCTCAATGTTCTACGCACCGCTTTAATTTCCGATAGCATCTGGTTCGAGAACAAGTTCGTCCCACACGATACTAACAATGTACGAGTAAATATAGCTTGTATTGACCTTAGAGTTATCATATGTTATTACATATATATATATTTACAAAAACAATGTATATTTATCAGTACATTTATCATCTAGTGCTCATAGTACAAACACTACTTCATTAAGAACTAGACGGTACTGTGTGAAATGTCCAGAATTAATTATTTGTTTATTAAAACGATTTACTTCATTATTATTATAATTGGTGCCAAGTAAGTACTAATAATCGTATCGTATACCTTATCGACTGTATTTACAATCGTCAAAATTCGGTCCTGTATACTAATGATATCGCAAAACCATGCCCATCCTTAAGGCATAGGGGAGACCATAGATAAGATACTATTAACTTCATAGTCACTAGTAAACCTCATAAGTCATGAGATAGACATGCTCACCTAAATGTCCATGCAAGTGGTGGCGTGGGTCGGATCATTGCGGTCCCTAAAATATAGCTGAGCTCAGAGATTTTAGACTGGTCTGCTCTGGTCTATTTAATAATGACAAATTCATTTTATTACTCAAGTAGCTATTATATGTATTTACTGTAGTATTCATGCTATTTGTCAGTTTGTATTTACGCAAAATCCTAAATATGTAATATTGAACATTTATTTAAACACGCGAGTAT